ATTCATTCATCAAGGATTCTTGTATACAGTTACCTCCCCTTGAGGGATTTTTCAGAAAATTAGACAGGGGAAGTAACTCTTACTGACAATAAAAAAAAAATCACGGACCTATCTTTTTCTTTTAAAAAAATGTTATAGTTCGGCAAGCACGACATACTGGCAAAGTATGAAAAAAGATTAAATACAAGAAAAAAAAATCCAGGTGGTCAAATATATTACTGTGCGGAATTTTGTGGTATTGACAGAAAAATAGATTTTAGAGTTTTAAGAATAAAATATTAATTTGAATATTTAAATTTTAGCTTTGTTATATCNGACCGATATGAAAAAAGTTGATAAAACGTCAGAATAATTTGGACTATAGTTCGGCAAGCAGTACATACTGGCAAAGTATGAAAAAAAGTTAAATACAGAAAAAAATATCCAGGTGGTCAAATATATTACTTCTGTGTGGAAGTTTGTGGTACTGACAGAAAAATAGGTTGAAGAGTTTTAAGAATAAAATATTAATTTGAACATTTAAATTTTAGCTATGTTATATCTTTTTTTTTAAAGTGGATATAAAATACATAATTAAATAGAAAAAATGGAAGTTACATAATATTTTTGTAAAATAAATGATATTTTAAACTAAATAATGCTTAAAACATTATTTCATCTTCAAGAATTGCTCAAAATGACCACTGATTTTCAATGGACTATTCTGAAAAAAGGAGCACACAGACATATCATTTTTTTGCATTTTATGACATGCCATTAACTCCTATTTCAAAAAACATAACATGAGAAAAAAAGTTTAATAAATGAATGTTTTGACTTCTCAGAGGAGTACATCCTTAACTTCCGATTGCATATAACTGTAGCATAGCTGGGTCAGGGCCCTTTCGTTGACCAGGTAGCTCAATTAGTAACTTAAAAATCCCCCCCACCCCCACCCAAAAAAAAACCCCACCCAATTGATAATGATATTGCAGTTCTTACAGTAATGTATGTATTACTGTTGTGTACCAGCAGACAGGTTATTGCATTGATTGAAATATTATAATAAAGAGGCTTAATAGTCTGTTTTCTTAATTGTTAATATACATATCTTATTCTTTCAGATCAAACAGCATCCTTATGTCATCCCAAAGAAAGTTGAACGTCGCGTACGTCACACACCTCCTCATGTCAGCCAGAATCAGCTTGTATGCTGGACTCATTGATGAACATTCGTGAAAACTGGACATGAATTGAGATTTGTTTGTGTGGAAAATGAAAACAAAGATCCAGTTGATAATTAGCTTAAACAATCAGAGATATGTAGCTAAAACATAATTGATATGTACCTTTATTGATGTCATGTCATAGCTTATATGTAATCATTAATGAGGACTTGTGAAAGAGTATTTATTGAGGTCTTGTGATCTGTTAAAGTATTTATTGATGTTATGTGTCAAGTATTTATTGAGGTCTTGTTAAAATATATTTTTATTGTTGTCTTGTGTAGAGTATTTATCTTTGTTTTGTGTAGAGTATTTATTGTTGTCTTGTGTAGAGTATTTATTGTTGTCTTGTGTAGAGTATTTATTGTTGT